CATGGCCAATGGCAGTGCTCCAAGTGGTGGCCAATGTATGAGCCTGGCCTAGTGCAGGAAAGTAAACTGAGGCCCCAGCCAATCCAGAGCAGGTATACAAGAGGCTGGGGATTTAGCTGAGTGGTGCAGCGCCTACCTGGTAAGCTCAAGGTCGTGAGTTCAATTCCCAGTACTGGAAAAAAAAACAACAACAAACAAAAAAACAGAGCAGGTATACAGCCCAGTGAGAAGTGAGGCTCATTGCCTTTTCCCACTGAGACACGGGACCCTTTGTTCCTACAGCTAGACTTAGCATGCTGCAGGGTTTTAATGGTAGTGGTTCGTGAGTAGCGTTTTAGAGAATACAGACATCTTTTAATTTTAATGTCCATCAACTAAAAAAGTACATGTTGTCTAAAGTCCAGTCAACATTTTTTAAAACTGCATTTTTGTCTTCCCAACTGTGCATGTGCATGTAGTTGGACACCAGCAGCGGCGCAGCCAGAAGCCAGGGCTCTTGGGAAGCATCAGTCCCCACCGACTGACCCCAACCAGGGTATAAACAAAGCAGTGCGACACTGCCTGTCCAGCCCATCTCGCAGGGTGACTGAGTGATGAGGTGATAGGTGAGGAATTAACAAGAGACTCTAAAATATAAAGTGTTATTTTCAGTCCCAGATTTGTACGTCCTCAAATGCCATTTAATGATTGTCTTCAAAAATGCAGACAGCAAATGGATAAACGGCAACGTTATCATAGACATCTGCAGAAGGACACTTCATTCAGGTTCATGTGCCTTCCAAGATATTGCCTCGTGAGTCTAAAATGAGCAAAGACTGACATTTATTCCAAGAAGTTAAGGGAGAGAAAAGAAAGTACAGGATATGCTTCCAGAATTACAGCAAAATAAGACATAAACACCAGTGAATTCACTTACATGTATGCATGCACCTACCAAACTTACTTTCTCTTCTTTCCAGAGCAGTTACTTTCTCTAAGAAAGTAAATTTGACAATTTATTAATTAAATACATTTTAAAGCCAAAATTAGGTATTTGAACTTTAAATACAAACCATAAATTAAAAATATTGACTCATTAGCAATGTAAGAAATGGAACTGTAGTATAGATTTAACCTGCTAAATTTTGGGGACTTTTGGTCCTAGGTGACTTGCAGGTCCTGGAAGTGTGGCAAGGATCCTGGAAAGGCCTCGGGTGGCATCTGTGAGGACCTGGCCCTCGGAAGGGCCCCCAGACCTCTTCTGCAAGCGCACCAGTCCCATGTCCTGAGTTACACAGAGATCCCCAGGAGCCATCGTATCGAGGGGCGACCTCATCACATCTCATCCACCCCGTATCTGGACCTGCGCACAGAAAGCGTGTGAGACTGTGAGAAAATAGAGAGGGCGCAAGAAGGGTGCAGCTCAAGAACTGGATACTGAGGCCGACAGGAGGCACGCTGTGGGTGAGGATTCACGGTGGAGCAGTACCACCAGCTGTACTCTCGAGACGCTGCCTAGGCTGAGCTCTCCTACATGCACACACAGCTTTTTGGCCTCAGCCTCTTTCTGATGCTCTTGTGAATTTCGTGGATGGGGTAAACAAGCTCGACCAGTTCAGACCAGTTGTTGACCCCTCGGTGGGAGCCCTGGGTCCTGCCGAGGTAGCCCATTGCTTGTAGATTTGCTTGAGGCCCAGTGAGCAGGAGTCAGTTAGCCCACCGCTGTCCTCACTGGCTGTCCTCCCCCACCCTCATTTACACCCTGGAATGTGGAGTTTGACCCCTCTCCGAGCTGACACCTGTATTTGCAGCCTGGTCCAGCTCTGCCAGCAGCCATCACGCTGGGGGTGTGCGACATGCACAGAGGGCTCAGGACGGCCTCCTACCCCACATTCATGTGGACAACTGCAGCTCCATATACACACAGCATATGGCCAGCCTGACAGGAGCCGGCCTGACTCTGCTCCGGATGGCTGTGTACCACAGTCCGCCTCTGTGGTTGGAGCCATCCTCATCCAGGGCAGGAAGTTTCCTTTAGCATGCGACTTCTCATCATGCAGGTATACAGGCAACTTCGGGTCCAACAGGCTTCTTCTAAGGACCCTGTCCAAAAGCCTTTTTGAAAACAAGAAGAAATTCATGGATCGAAACATTCATGATTTTGAACACTTTGAAGTTACAATCTGGTGACTCCCAGTGCATTCACAGTGCTGGGCAATGTCGACCACTGTTAATTTCAGAACTTCCCCAACTGCCCTGCACACCAGTGGTCATGCTGCCTGACTGTGGTGTTGCAGGTGACCCACTCCGGACCCAGTCTGTTCTGATGGGGCAGAACCCCCATGCATCTGCCTGCCCCAGAGACCAGAGGTTTCCCGGGGAGGCCCCTCCTTGCTCTTGGGGAGCAGAGCTGGCCGAAGCAGCGTTGAAGAGGAGCTGATGTGTGCAGACTTTCATGCTGTGGTGAATTTCGGGGTCAAGAGGTTGGCGCACATCTCCTCTCCACTGTCAGGTAGAAGCTCCCCAGGGGCATGTGGCGGGCTGGGGAGAGAAGACAGTCCCAGCAGCTGTGGACCCCACTGCACTCCCCTGCCACGAGAGCAAGGCAGTGCTGTTGCTGGACAGCAGAGTGTTCTTTCGTCTTTTCTGATAGAACTCATGAATGGGAAAGTGGCTCTGGGCTTGAATGCCAGTGGCCCCCAGCCCTCGGGTTCTGAGTGCCCACAGCCCTGACCTCACAGCGTCTCAGCTCTGGGTAGGCCACACCACCAGCTCATCAGCCGCTGAGGCCCGTCCTTGGCAGCTTTTGGAGCGTGTCTCTGCAGTTCTCACTGACCTCGCCGATCTCCTTGCTGCTGGTCAACACTATGGGGCAGTCTGCTGCAGGAGACCTCACTGCTGACCTCCTCTGGTCTCCGGAGCCCTTCAGGACTGGCAGCCCCGGTGTTTACGGTTCGTTTTGAAAAGGAACTGCTCTGTGCACAGTACTAAGGATAAGAATTCTCAGTAGACTCCCAGGACCTCCCAAGTCCACACTACCTGTGGAGTTCAGGAATAGACTTACAGGACACTGGAGTGAGGGGCCGTGGATGTAGCTCAGCGGCATAAGCACCTGCCTGGCAAGCGCAAGGTCCAGAGTTCAATTCCCGGCACCAAAAAAAAAAAAAAAAAGAAAAAAGGACCCTGGAGTGAGGCGGGTCCATGCTGCTGCACAAGGCGGTCAGTACACCAGAGGCAGCCCTCCTAGGCCAAAGGAGGGGTGTGAGAGGAGAGCTGCTGCTGTAGTGGCTGCAGACCTGTGATTGGTCCAAACTGAATTCTACCTCGTGGTGTACATGTGTGCCTGCGCCAGCCAGGTGGACACGCCTTGTGTGCATGGGGGCATCCAGGCAGGGCGCAGCTGTCGAGGGGACGTTGGGCAGAACAGCAGGAGACGCGCTCTGCTTGATCAACAGCTGCTGCATCCCTGAAAAATGGTGAGCGGGAACCTGCGACTGCTCAGGAGCATGGACTGGGTCAAGCACAGCTGACTGGGATTTCGGGAGGCTAAGGACATCGATCACGTGCCCAGGCCCCTCCCTAACTGATCTCTGCCATTTGGGTGGTTTTCCTGCTGCTTCTTCAAGAAGGAGACAACAGTGTCTGGCACGGCTGCAGCAGGGCAGAACCACGCCGACAGCGAGCTGTGCCTCCTGCGGGAGCAGCCCCACAGTGGCCCCAGAGCAGCCCAGGGGGCAGGCTGTCTTCACCCACCCTTGAGGGGCCCCAGGGGAAGCAAAGGGCAGTGAGTGGCAGGCGGCAGCCACGCCCCCTCTGATGTCACGGGAAGAAAGGGAGAGTGAGGCTGTTGGCTGTCTCACTGTGGCGGAGGGGTATTTGTGTCCTCACCACATCCCCTGCTGCAGTCACACCCCAAAGTGATGGCATCAGGGGGTGGGGCCTTTGGGAGGGGGTTAGCAGACCGGGGGTGGGGCATTTGTTGGGGGGCGGTGTCCTTATAGGAAGAGGCCTGAGAGCTTGGTTTGTTCTCTTCCCGACACATGAGAGGATAATAAGGCCACCTGCAAACTACAAAGGGGCCATCAGCAGACCTCTGGGGTGCTGGGACTGTGACCTTGGCCTTCCTCCCTCCAGAGCCAGGAAAGACGATTAGGGAAACCTCCCTTGTGGGTTCTGTGTTGTAGCAGCTCAGATGGCCAAGGCAGACCCTGTACACAGGCCGAGCTCCCCGCATCACTGTCGGAAACTGCGGTGGCCACCGCTGGACGTAGCCACCTTGGGAAGGGCAGAGGTGAGGCGGCAGGGAGCCTGCGGGCTCAGGGGCCCCTTGGGGGAGGGAAAAGGAGGGTGCTCAGCTGCCCCTCTGCTTCCTCAAGCCACATTTCAGGGAACCTGAGTCAGTTCAGATAAAGGATCCAGGGGTCGGGACACTGCAGGGGGACAGCGTGTTGGGAGGCACGTGCTCACAGCAGTAAGAGCTTGTATCCAGACATTGCTCCCTCTGCGCTGGTGGCACGGGCCAAGCCCCTGGCCTCTGTCCTTGGTCCTCCAGCATCAGGGACACAGGAGGCTCTGTGCGAGGGGGTGCGGCCAGGGTTCGCTCTTCTGCCACCTGGTGGGGACGAGGGGGTGCCGTGCTGTGAAGGGCCCTCGTGGCTGCATAGCGAGAGGGGTGACAGCACTGGGTCCTGCAGAGTGAGGAGCTGGCCGAGCGCCGGGCCAGGCAGTTTCCCTGCAAAGGGGCGGCTTGGGGCTGAGACTCGGCGGCAGTGCAGTCTGAGTGACTTGGTTCTCCCAGGGCTGGGGAGGCGGGGAGAAGCCTCATTGTTACACCAGCACCCTGGGCTCCTCTGAGCCGGGGCAGGCAAGGCTGACGTCACCTACAGAGGACAAGTGTCAGGTTGTGCAGACGCCAGGCACCGGGCAGGTGACAGCCTCAGGTCCCCACAATGCCTCCCCGAGGGCCCTGAGCAGCCGCCTGTCAAGGCTGTGATCACACGGCCCTGGGGGGTCTTTCAGAGTCCAGTCCACAGCACCCGCATGTGTTAGAGCACGCGGCCCACCGAGCTTCTCTCAGGGCACAGCCACAGCCAAACCCGCGGGACGACCGACTGTGTGTGCTGAACGCTCACAGCTTGGAAGGTGCTGCCTGCACCCCTGCGGAGGAGACGGGCCCACCTGATTTGATAAATTATTCAAGCTGGCTCATGAACAAACCAGCGGTGGAGAAACCACGGCTTGTGGTACAGTGCGAGGTTTGTTACCATCAGAAGCTCTGAAAGGTTCACCATCACTGAACTATACTGTATCGATTCCTGGTCTCTCTGTCATGGATCCGAAAGTGTGTTTTCCGACTGAAAGCTTCATGTGGGCACCGTGCACCCCATGGGGACGCTCCAGGTGTTTACCCGCTGGGCCAAGATGGTACGGTCCACATACTCTCCCAGACACAGAGGCCATCTTCCTGTCCCGGGGCTCCTGAGGTCGCGCTGACACTAGACAGAGATGTGTGAGGCCTATTTGATGGCTCCCCTCAAGGGGACCACCCCCGTTACAGACCCGTGTCTATGTCTCCCAGCGCCTCCTGTGGAACTGTTCCCCGCAGGGCGGTGGTGTGCGTGCGGAGTGTGGGGCCTGCAGTCGGGGGTGAGGCTTGGCTGAGCTGGGCAGTCAGAGCCTCACCGTGGATGCGGCCCTGTAGGGAGGAGGAAGAGAGGGTGTGGAGGAGGATGCACAGAAAGAGCTTCTGTGACCCACGAAGTGGCCCTCATCGGACTCTGGAGCTACTGGGAGCTCATTCTGGGGCCCTCAGCCCCCGGAATCATAGCATGAATGTGCTGCTGAGCTAGCCAGCCTGGTGCCCCCTTCCCAGTCCAAGCAGGGGAAGACACTATAGGGACATTTCTCACCCCTGCACCTGGAGGGGCCCATGGGGTCAGGGCTGGACTCCTTCTGAGCTGCTGCTTTCTGGAGCGCAGAGGCCTTTGCACACAGGAGCCTGTCCTTTTGGAGGTCTGACTTGGCACCTCCCCAAGGGCTCTGCTTCCTGCCTGTCCTGGTGTAACAGCTGCGAGGTCCCACCAATCACAGTGTCCATTCTACCAGCCGTGAGTCTCACAGCGCAGGAAATCCTGTCAGGCTCTCTATGGGTGGGGACCAAGGCCCACAGGCCCCTGCATCCCAGAGGTCATGCCCACCTCCTTTCCTGAGGTGTCCGTCATTCCTGGAAACAGCAAGTCTCGGTTGGACACTGAGACATGGCCTCTGCTAGGACAGCTGCGTGGGTCTTGGCGAGGTCCCACATGCTGTGTTTATCCCTCTGCTTGTCCTGGGTGATGACACTGCATAAACAAACCGGAAGGAAGTAAAAAAAGGGCATCCATGCTGCCCTCACCAGCATTGCTCCCGGGGAACCTCCCTGTCTGCTCACCTGCCCTTCCTGTCAAACTTGGGCCCTTTCACAGCCATTGGGCCTTTGGGTCTCATGGTTTGGAGTAGCTGAGCATCCATATGTAGCATGCACACACACGTGGAATAGCATGAAGTCAGAAGGATGCTTGACCGGAGCCTTGGATGCCGGCTCCCCTCTGGCCCTCCACATCTGCAAGGGCTGCCATGGGGCTGATCAGGGCCACAGCAGCAGCATGGCCATGGGACCTTGGGGATGAGGTGCCATCACCCACCCAATGGACACGGCGGGGACGGAGCCAGTGGGTGCTGCCATGGGCCTGCTTGCTGATGAGGACCTCGCTGTTCCCTCAGTGCTGTCCCTCCTCGCTGCACCAGTGAGCACCTCAGCTCTGCAGAGACACCGTCGTGAAGGATGTGAGGAGACGGAATCCCAGGAGGACTGCAGGGTCCCATATCCCTTGCAAATGTGCCATTTTAGCCAATTTAACTCAGACTTTGAGGGACCGGAAGGTTCTCCCTCATGTCAAAAAGTCAAGTCGTGGAAATTACGCTACAGCCCAAGCAGGCAGCCTTAGGGTCACGCTGAGAGTGACCTAGCTTATGACACTCAGATGCAGTGGGCTGTGCCTCCCACACAGGGAGATGCCGGGGGCACTGGTCCCATCTCAAATGTGGTGTTGGGGCAGGGCCAGTGACTGGCTTTCCTGCCCAAGGAGATGACCCGGCAGATGGCCGGATTCTGGACACCAGACATGGTGCCCGGGCACCTCTGCTTTTGTCATATTCGCTGTCCCCCCACCAAGTCGCAAGAGTCTGTCCAAGGCGTCCCCAGCCGGCGGTCTGCTCCTCTCAAGCCCTGAGCCCTGATGCCAGTGAGGCCTGCAGGTTGGGCCTGGGGTGCTGCAGGCCACCGGGTTACGTTTGGTGGGGACGGGAATGTGCAGGGTCCACTGGGCACAGCACGGCCCACGCAGCCTTGGACTCTACAGCTGCCAGCCCGTATTCTCTCCACGGCTGCACAACCCTGGCGCCAGGTCAGGTTCTGACTACCCACAGGCATTCTGGTCTGGGGAGGGCAGCCGGCAGATGCTGGAAGTCCCCCTCGATGACCTCGGACCCTCGTCTTCCCTGTGGAGGTGGAGGGCACCACCCGAGGAGCAGAGTGTGGGCAGGCATGCGGGTAAAGTGGGCAGCCCAGCCCACATTCTTGTCCCGAAGACCTTCCAGCTCCCTGTTCCCATGATCGGGAGGAATGTGCAGCCTTTGATGCCGTCCGCCTGGGCCAGCTTTCAGCCGCCCTGCGCTGTTAGATCTGCCGCCAGCTGCGGCCTCTGGAGAGGGCAGCCTGCACCGTCTGTGCGGTCGTGTCCCGCGTGGGTGGTGCGGCGCTCCTGTCACCATGCCCACAGATCCTCACAGGGGTGATGTGTGCCTGCTCTGTCCCTGGAGCTGAGGATTTGGGAAGCTCATGAGGACGGGGTGCAGGGCTGAGGGTGCCCACTGTGACCGTGATGGGTTTGCTGGCCCCGGGGTCCTGACGTCTCTGAACGGGACCAGCCAGTGCTGGGAGCCTCAGTGTCCTCTGCCTGCCTTTTTCCTACTGAGTGCTCCAGGGCCTTATGACTTCAGCCTGATGAGTGGACTCTTAGGGGAACCAGGGGCTACTGGGGAGTCATTCAAGGGCTCAGATGGGAGAATTGCTCTCCGAGGTGTGGAGCCCATCCACACAAGCTGCAGGGGCCACACACCAGGTGGATGGCCACCCATGGCCTTACAGAAGAAGGAGCCTGGTGTCCACCCAGGGTCTGGTTCCCAAAGAGCAAGGTGGCGGTCATCTGAACAGCGCTTGTTTCAGGTCACCAGGACACTCAAGCCCCAAATGTCTTTCAGGGTACAGGACGACACTTGGAAACTTCATGTCCCCGTGGTGAGAACAGGACCGACAGAAAACAAGTCGAGCAGACTCTGGTTTCAAGCAGGACAGCCTGCAGCATACCCGGTCCTCCAACACAGTAGCAAAGTGAGGACAGCAGGGACCTCGGTGGGGCAGCTGTGACAGCCAGAACTGAGGGTTGGCACTCAAGGGGAGGTGATGGCAGGGACCTGGGCTGGGCCCTTGGGGCAGAGCTGGGACATTTGCAGACTTGTGTCCCCTTGGGGCCAGCGGCACAGGGGACCTCAGAGCTGGAGTTCCAGACAGTGGGTGAGAACACGCATTTTTAAAATCCAGAAGGTTCTAGAGGTCTAACATCCTGCTGACATCTTTTGGGAAGACATGTGTTGTTCGCACTGCATGCACTTTTCTCCAGGACGATCACCTGGGGGACCAAATGCACCCACATCTAAAAGCCAAACCTTCAAGCTGCTGATACATGGTCCACCGAATCGGTCAGGGACATGCAGACCAGAGCAGGAGCATCTGCTGAGCACCAGCGGCAGCCTCACCTGGGAGGACAAACTGATATTAGAAATCTGGACAGACAGCTGGGAAAGGAGTCTCCCTTCCTGAGAAAGTCTGAGTGTCAGACACTGCGGGGCTGACCAGGGAGGGATGTTTCCAACCAGTGTTTCGTAGAATGTACGAAGAATGTAGAATGGGCAAGAAGAGGTCGTCCTCACCCGGCTGCACCGCGATCGCTAGCCTGCTTGCTGCTCTTGGTCACCCGCACAAATGTCCTCTCTCTGCCCAGCTGCTGAAGCAGATCTACTTCCTGCACTAGGCAGGGACTGGCGCTCTCCACATCTTGTTTGATGGACACTGGTGTTTTCATCCTTGCGGTAGCACGCGGAGCTTCCGAGGATCCCCGGCTCGATAGGTCTAGCCGTGCTGGATCTGAAGGGAGGGACTCCCTGGATTATTCCCCATGAGCCTCACATGTGTCCAGCGTACCGCAGTGTGCTGCAGAGAACAGGAGGTGAGTAGGGACAAACGGGGGCGGTGCAGGGGTCCATCTCAAGGGGCCCCAAGCCTCAGGAATGAGTGAGCCTGTGGCTGGTGACACGTGCTCTGAAGTCGCCCGCCTGTCTCACGTCAGCAGTGAGCCAGTGAGTGCGAGCCTTAGAAACAAAGCACGAAGGGGACACCATGCCCCAAACCAGCATGTTACTGCTGGATCAAGGGGCAGAGACGACGGCGGGTGTGTCCCTGTGGTGGACGGCTTGCTCCCCTGCCTGAGCCCAGCGTGCACCCAAAGCCAGGGCAGCACATCTCCCCCATGCAGGTCCCTGCTTTCACCACAGGACAAAGGATGGGGGCGCCACTGGTCACACGTGCCTCTGTTGGTGCTGCCCCTCTGTGGGGCCTGATCCAGCCCAGGTCCACCTTTGGACAGCACCGCCCGAAGAGGAGGCCCGTGAGCGACAGAAGCCAGACATGGGCTTCGCCAGGTGCCCTGCTGGTCAGCCTGCCCCTGCCCTCCACCCACTTTCTCGGCTGATTTTGAAAGTTACCTAGGTCTTGAGCATCCACTATGTGGAGCGATTAAAATTTCCATCGTTCTAGTATTGGTGAGGTGTGGATCTGTGTGGTGTCTGATAATTCGCAAGTGCGCTGGTGCTCCAGGGCAAGCAGGAGTTCCGGTTTAACAGCACCCGGTGTCCCCTGCACGGGTCTTCTCTCAGTACAGCTGATCTAAGTCCAGGCACACCTGGGTGTGGATCACGCTCTTTCAGAATGGTGCCATGGAACAGGCCTGTAATCCCAGCACTTGGGAGGCTGGGGCAGGAGGATCACCACAAGTTTGAGGCCACCCTGGGCTACGTAATGAGAACGTGTCTCAAAAAAAAAAAAAAAAAAGCCAGCACTCTGCTTTGGTGTGCACTGGGTTCATCATCCCCTGATTTCCTGTGTTTCCACCCAGCCGCCCCAGTGGCCCTCTCCCCTCTGCTGTGAGGCCGGGTGCTCACATCTGGGCCAATCTGACACCTTATCATCCTGCACACCTCCAGGCCAAGAGCCTGTGCGTGTGAGTGAGGCTGCTGGGCCAGACTGGTGGGCCTCCGAGGTCAGAGCGGGTTCTTCAGGCCGGGGGCAGCCAGGACTTCTGGCCGCGCTGTGCAGCGTGTGAGGGCCCAGACTCACACCGGCATGCTGGCCTGTCTCCAAGGCTGCGGAGCCTTCTGCCCTTGGAGCTGCTGTGGTCGTGAGGCTGCCGAGGCACGTGAAGCTCTAAGGAGGGCACTTGGTGCCCCCATAGCTCCTAGTGCCCACGAACAGGGTGACCACAGCAATTAGGCTCACTAACAAGCGTTTGGCAAAATCATACTTTTACAAACTCCACACTGGGTGATGAACGTGATCACGGCCATCTTCCCCACACAAACGCGAAAGCAGCAGTCTTCCTCAGAACTGAGGTACCACTGTATCTGCCTAGCATCTGGGTTTCCCTGTACACTGACACCTCCTGCACCTGAGAACTGTACCCAATCACCCAGCACCCGTTCACCACACAGCACTGTTCACCACACAGCACTGTTCACCACAGCGCCACATTCACCACAGTGCTGTTCACCACAGCACTGTTCACCACAGCACTGTTCACCACAGCACCACATTCACCACAGTGCTGTTCACCACAGCGCTGTTCACCACAGTGCCACATTCACCACAGCACTGTTCACCACAGCACTGTTCACCACAGC